GCTTTCTGGGCTTATCTCTTGTGCTCACCTAACACAATCGCTTTTTGTGTAATTTGATTTTTTTTTTTTTACAATTCTGAGAAGGGAGCCATTGTTAGGAATATATCATTATGTTTTCATTGACAATAATACAAATAATACAATGAAGTCAAAAGAGTACTAATATAAGCCTTGACTGTGTTCAAAAGATATCTCCTTTGTTTCTATGCTGTCATCACACGTGCCCTGCCTGATGTAATAATGTACACTCTTATAGTAAGTGGAGTCCAAAAACTGTTAATTGATGATCTCATTGGTCTCTTATACCCTTCCAATCCCTTCCGCCACCACTCTCCACCCCCACTTCCTGTATTTACTAAATGTACGTCGTGTTTTACTATCGTATCCATACGACGTGGGGAACTCTGTGTCACCACTTTCCAAAGAGGAAATTTACTCGTTAATCTGATCCGTACTCTTTGCATAGCAGTCTGTCGACATGATTTTTGGAGAAATACTGAAAGTTTCAAAGAGATCTTCGTATTAAAAGTATTCTAAAATGTGAAGAATACAACCCCGGGAGTACAAAAGGATCCCAGGGTGTACAAATAGGGTTAAAAAACCAAAACAAAGCTACTCTTCATAAGACAGCTGCAAAACCTTAAAAAGGCAAAACAACAACGATATCCCTTATGACAACAACAAAAACAATAACAAAAGCAGAAACAGAAGCAGCAACAACAGCAACTCATTTACATACACATTTATGTATTTTGACTTTTTGGCTTACAAAATGTGTAGTTAACAGTTGCAAATACTTTAAACCTTAATAACGTCGGTGTCAAAAACTGTAACGGTGTATCTGCCAAATGACGTCAAACACTTATTTTGTCTGAAACTATGTAATATACGACTAATTGGTAATACCATACTAAGTAAAAAGAACACTCGACTTCAAGATTGTGAGCTATCCGAGAAGATAATAAGAAAGAAATTACGTTAGATAGTGAAAGATGATTATGAGTATAAAACGTAGGTACTTTACAGTCAACATTGTCTGCTTGTTAATTGGTTGCTTTTAAGCAAAAGGGGGCTATCCCGAAAAATGCTGTTCTAGGAAAAGGTAAAGATTTTGCCCCTTATTCAGTTTTCTCTATAACCAAACAAAATTAAATATACCCACTAATGAAATCAAGGGCATTGCCCACGTTTAGTGTAGGTCAAGATTTCTGGGAATCCCCGAAATCCGGGTTAGCCTGCTTGTCCTTAATTAAAAGAGACCAATTTTAAGGAAAAAAACAACAAACAACACATTTTTGTTCCCCAGGGTTCAACAATCCCTGTCCTAGTGGTAAGCAAAACTACACAGCTGGTCAAGGTGCTGGTCACTAAGAGGCCTGGGAGTCTGAGTGCTCTCACGTGGTCTCTGCTGTCCTATATGGCCGCAGGTCAGAAAAAAACAGCAACTGTCCCCCCACCCCCACCTCACTTTTTCCCATTGTTTTTTGTGGATGGAATGGGGGTGGGAGATGATGCATCAATATTAATATTTTTTCCCTCTCTCACTCTCTCTCACTCTCTCTCATTCTTACGCACACACACACACACACACACACACACACACACACACACACACACACACAC